TTGCAGATGCAATTAAGATTGCTAATCAGATGATCTTAAAATAAAGGTTAATCTAAATGATACAATATTGTTCTTGTTGTTGTTAAGTGCCATTGAGCTGAATACAGCTCGTAGCGAGTACCTCCAAGGAGCACTCTGGCTGCACCTTCTTCAAGACACATCTGTTTGTTCTCCTTGCAGTCCATGAGATATTCAGCCCCCCTTCTCCAACCCCACAGCTCAAAGGTTTCAATTCTTCTTCTGTCATCCTTAGTCACTGTCCAACTCTCAGATGCATAAGTGACTGAAAAGACCATGGCCTGAATCAGGCATACTTTTGTCCTCAAACTGACATTACTGCTCCTCAATCATCTGGAGAGGTCCCTGACTACAGACTTTCCCATGCAATAAGTCTCTATATCTGGGACCAAGTGTACTGATTGTGGATCCAAGTAAGATGAAGCCCTAAGATGAACTTGTACATTAGGTGGGCCCAACAAGGGTCCTTAAAATGTGGAAAATAAAATAAAATGTGTCAGGAGGACTTCAGATGGTTGAGATATAATATGAGAGGAGCTGAATTTGTAGTTACTGGCTTTGAAGATAGAAAAAGATGTTCAGGGACCATGGTAAATGGGTGGGCTCCAAGAATTTGAAAAGCAATGAGATGGATTCTCCTCCTCTAGAGCTTCACAAAGGAGCATAGCCCTAAAAGTTTTGGACTTTCAGACTATGCAACTGTAAGATGATACATTTGTATTGTTTAAGTCCTTAGATTGTAATAATTGGTTACAGCAGTAATGTTATGTTCAGTGCTTATCCAGTCTACAAACCTCAGATCAAAGTGCTGTCCTATTATGCACCATCCTCAGGATGTCTGCCATGTTCAAGCCCATTGTTTCAGTCACTCTGCCAGTTCATCTCATTGAGGATCTTCCTCTTCTTCACTGACTCCCTAATTTTCTTAGCATGGCGTCTTTGTCCAGGGACTGGCCTCTCTTGACAACATGCTCAAAATATGTGAAATGAAATTCTATCATTCTTGTCTCCAAGGAGAACCCTGGTTGTACTTCCTCTAAGACAGATTTGTCTGTTCTCTTGAAAGTGTACTAACTTCTTGCCAGCACCACAATTCAAAAGCATCAATATTTCTTTCGTCTTCCTTATTCCTTGTCCAACTTCTGCATGCATACGACGTCACTGAAAATAACCTGGCTTGGGTCAGGCACACCTTCACCTTAGACTGGCATTCTCAGCAAAAATAGAAAACGAATTTATACATGATAAAGTAGATATAACTGATAACCACTTCTGGAATGAAAGTAAAAAATACATCTTACTAATATAAGAACTCACTGGAAAGATATTTAATGTTCCCAGTTAAAAGTTCTTGTTATTACTATCCTTTACCTTCCTGTGATTAACAGCTTTCCATCAATAGGCCTGTGTGTGTGGGTGTGTGGCCTGTCACAGTTATGGGGTGCGGTCTATGCCAACAGGGCAGCACAAGGGTCACCCTAGGAATTCAAGTATGGTCTGCAGTCACAGCAAGAAGAGAGCATTAGTAGGACTGTAAGAAATGATACCTGAAACTGATTCTTAATTCTTGCTAGAGAGAGTTTTGGCAGTAGATAGTGTAATAATGATAAAAATACCTAAGAGATAGTCCAGGGGGCTTGCTGTCACCTGAGAGTATCACACCCTGGGAAAAAAAGAATGTTACCACCTCCAAGCAGAGCACATCACCTGAATCACATCAGTCAGAGGGCTGTGCTCACTTCTGCCAACTGGTTGCCTCCTGTTTCCTTTGCTACAGACGTACCTTTGGGTGTTAATGCAGTTACCGTAACTTCCAGATGATTTAAGTGTCTGAGTGTTCATCGCTGTCAAACTGTTCTCTACTGGGCTGTGAGAATATCACTCCATACAGCACAGCAACAAGAAAATCTGTATTACTGTCATTTATAAGAATACAAATTTTCTAGTGAATGAAATCTTCTCAGAACACAGATTAAGATCTGAGGCCAGAACACGTGACAACCAGTGAAGTCACCTCCTCCTGTGTCCCCTGACACACAAGCTGAGGGGTGGCCATAAAGAGTTAGACAGCCCCAGGGGCAAAGTGCCCTCAGTCATTCCAGAAGTTTTAACTTTCTGATTTTCTTTTTTCTTTATCACAAGGGCTTCTCTACTCCTTCTTCTTTTCTCCATATATGATGTGTACCTGAATTATAAAAATATCTCCTAATTAACTGAAGCACACTTAGGAGGCCACAGTTAAAATCACAAGAGAATGATCTGCTTCTCTCTTAGTCTGTAATCAAGCCTCCGTGGGCAGAGCTGCTCTGTCACTGGCAGGCTGGCCTGCAGCTTCCAGAGGTGAGCGCTCCATCGAGGAAGAGTTGCTGGAGCCAAACCCAGTGAACTAAAGGCTGCTGTAAATCATTATCAAGTGGATTCTGAATCACACTGGCCTCATATGCTCTAGAGAGAACTGTTCTATAGGGTTTCAAGGCCTTTGGCAAATGGATTTCTAGGGCTATTTGCTGACTCATTCTGCATATTGGGTGGTTTAGAACCACCAATCTTTTATCTGGGAGTCAAGAACGTAACCCTCTCTGCCATACAGAGATGGCCAGAAATGCAGTGTAGTGCAGACTATATGGGAGATAGAATAACATCAGCTACTGTCACTGTTCGAGTCGTTTTTGAATAATCTTCAGTAGAATCTTGCTTGCATGTGAAATCAATGATATTGTTCTGTAGTTTCCACACTCAGTTGGGTTGCCCTTCTTTGGAATGGGAACAAATACAGACCTCTTCCAGTCAGTTGGCCAAGTGGTTGTTCTCCAGATTTCTTGGCACAACTTGGTGAGCATATCCACGGCAGCATCTGTTAGCTGAAATATGTCAATTGGTATACCATCTATTCCGGGGGCCTTATTTTTTGCTATTTCCTTCAAAGCAGCTTGAACTTCTGCCTTCATCACCATAGGCTCTGGCTCAAATGCTATTTCATTAAATTCTTCTGTATCCGCCAATTCCTTTCGATACAATGACTCAGTATATTCCTTCCATCTTCTTTTGATACCTCCTGGATCATTTAACATTCTGCCTAAAGCATCCTTGATTGTAGCAACTCGAGGTTTGAATTTGTTCTTCAGTTCCTTGAGCTTAAGAAATGCTGAACGAGTTTGGCCCTTTTGATTTTCCGACTCTAGCTCCTCGCACATTTCATTGTAATATTTTGCTTTGTCATTCCAAGGCTGCCTTTTGGAATCTTCTGTTCAGCTCTTTAGTTTCTTGGATTCTTCCTTGTGCTTTGGCTTCTCTACATTCCAGTGCAATCTTCAGAGTTTCTTCTGACATCCATTTTGGTCTTTTCTTCCTCTTCTGCCTTTGTAATGACCGCCTGCACTGTTCCTGGATGATACATTTAACATCCTCCCACAGCTCATCTGGAGGGTTAAACCAGGCTGCTCCTTGGAGGCAAGGATTCTGGGGCTTCGTCTGACATACTTTGGACATGTTGTAAGGAGAGACAGGTCTTTAGAGAGGGACATCATGCTGGGTAGAGGAGAGGGACAGCGCAGGAGGGGAAGACCCTCTATGAGGTGGATTGATTCAGTGACTGGGGTAATCGGGATGGGTGTGCCAGAGGCAATGAGATTGGCACAGGATAGAGCACGGTTTAGGGCTGTTGTACATAGGGTCGCTATGAGTCACAAACGACTCGACGGCACATAACAACAACAACAATGTCACTGTAGGTAAAGATAGACCCTGACTGAGGTTTGCATAAGACTCACATTTCTGTCTCCGGGTTTTCCTTCTTTTCAATTAGGTTAAGATCAAGAGTCCATAAGACAGAACAGAGTAGGAATGAAGGATGAGTTGTAAACTCAGAGAAAGGGTGGTAAGAAGGCATATACCAGAATTTCTAGCACAAATTCAGGTTTTATTTACATGATGTATCAAGCACAAGCTTTTGGTGCCCTAGGATGACTGAGAACAATCTTTTAGACCTTACCCTGTCGTTTGTTAAAGGCAGGATGTAGGCATGGTTATATCACTTAGTACCAGCTGAACGGGCCCTGAGCTATAATGTGGTAGAAAATGACAGGGATTAAAGCCTGAAATGTAACTGTCCTAGGGCAGAGCCTGTGGGTTGCGATGTTCCTGTGCATAGATGAGGAGGCACTGCATGGAGCAGGACTGAGCAGCAGTTCATCCCAATGTGTGATGGATTCCCCTGAATCCAGGCTGACTCAGTGACAGTTACCCACAATCAACAGTTATCCCATGTCCTTCCTGTTAACAAGTAGCATTTCTCTCTGGATACACCACTGCTCCAATAATAAAAGTTGTGCACAAGCCCAGGTATGTATGGTGCCATTGCTTTCCATTGGCTGATCTTCTGCTCTCTATCCAATATTCACACACAGTAACACAAAACAATAAAGGACCCCTCAGGTAGAGACTGTAATGGTTATTTTAAACCACTTATAAATGTGCCTATTTGAAGTCATGTTAAGTGATGTTTCAATTTCATAAAAATTATTTTGACACAGATTATTTCAGCACAGCCACAGTCCACAAAGAACCCAGATCACCTAGACACAGCAACCTCCGAATCTCATTCTTCTCTTACAAGTCACTGGGACAAAGGCCTCATGGGGCTTTCTCTGACCTCCATAGCAAGAACAAAGCATCCTAAATTAATGTCGTTTTGCTTTTGGTTTTTTTAAAGTTTCACCCAGACAAAGTTTCTCTGGAAAGGATCTCTGCTGATGGACACAGCATCAAAAACCAAAGAAGGAAAATCGCTGCTAGAATCGCTCCCACGGCGATGGGAGTATCATCAACACACACCGTCGGCTCTCTACAAACATGTCTTTCTTTATCCACTATCAATAAACTATAAAGACCCCAGGTTTACACACACACAACACCCCTTCAGGGTCACTCCATGGCCCTGAGAACAGCATACACTAGATAACAAGCCCTTGTCGCCACCTCACCTTGTTGAAGTCTTCCGAGGTTGCTCTCATCTCCTTCCAGGTCTTGTTCAGAAGCTGGATGCAGATGCAGAAAAATTCCTCGAAGGATCTGTCGTGTGTGAAGAACATCGGGTGGAAGTCGTTGCAGGTCTCACTAGCTGGAGGGAAGAGAAGGCGGGAAAGAGGTTTTAGAACAGATACAGCCTAAGGGAGGTTCTCCAAAGAGATTATGATATTCATCTTGGCACAAGTGAGAGCGGATAAAAGACATTTGTTTACGGTGATGTAAGGAAAGGCTCTTTATAATTTAGAATTTTAAACTTAGATGGCCAAACCTAACCCTTACAAACAAATTTTAGCTGAAGATAGTCAGCTCGTAATTTCCCCCTAAGACATGACCTTTATGCTTCTGTCTCATAATTCCTGGAAGTGGATACAAGTCCTGTATCTCCTTTCAACAGTGTAAAAACTCTTCCAACAGTCAGTCCTCTAGATTATAGCTTCTCTGTCACCCTTCCTCAACAGAATAACTAGGAGAGCATAGGTTTGCTCCAAAACATATTTACTCCAACTCTGAAAGAAGTATCTTCGATTATTTCTCCAGGGGGCTCTTTGCCTTATATGAGCTGGAAACATGTTAGACCATTAATCATCTCACAGTTTGCTTTCCATTCTTAGAAACAGAAGACTGTCTGGTGGCCTAGTGGCTAGAAGCTGCACTGCAATCCCAGAAGCCCATGGTTCGAATCCACCAGATGCTCTGCCGGGTAAGGAGGGACAATCTCCTCCTGTACCAGTCAGATCTGATTTGACAGTACACAGACACACAAAAGTAATAATAAAATAAAAATAAATAAAATAAATAGAGGACTGGAGGTGAAATCAACCTCAAATGGCTTTGGAGACTGCAAGTGTCCATTCCTGACAAGACCATGACGTCTTGTAGAACTTCTTTGAGTCAGATCCAGTGCTCGGCTCTGAGTGCTGTCATCTCTCTCCTCCTTCCCTGACCCATGTCCACTCTTCCTTAGTCCCAGCTAACCCACACTTATATTTCCACAGTTCTTTTAGATTTATATGGCTTGGCACTTGTTATTTTCAAGCTTTACTCAGAGCTGTTATTATTCAGGCTTTATGGATATGAAATTATAGAACTCCAGGAAGCAGGCCGTGCAACCATCCAAAACTGGTGCTCTAAGTTTTTTTAAAAATCGGCTTTTAAACAACTATATAAACTGTTACATACAAACAAAGTATTACTATGTATTTTGAAAGCAGGAGTGCATGCACTTCCTAAATAACATGCCTCTGGAAACTCCATGAACTTTGATAAATGTCTATAGTTGTAGAGGGGCTTTAGGCCTTTTGTTCAAAGGGTCACTATGAGTCGTGCTCAACTTGAAGGCAATCAACAACAACATTACTATTTATATAAGAACTCTCTGGGGGAAAAAATCAGTTCGTTTCCAAGAAAAGTATGATTTTATATATGAACAAACTATGAGATGAGGGAGAGAAAGGGCAAAGGAAAGGGCTCCTTTAGTTTTGGGTTGAGTCCTCATGGCTACCATGTGGATCGCCATCTATTCTACTTATGGAAAATTCTCTGGTGAAATCCTTCAGAAGACCCCAGATCATTACGAAAGAGCCATAAGCAAATGGAAATCCATCACTTCTACCATCCACTTTGATGAGTACAGTGAAATTCAGACTGCTGCATAATTTAACCCATCACAGAAGTATATGTTTATATAGCTTACCCTAGTGAACAAAGTGATATGATTTCATGATACATGAATGCCACTTCTTTTGGATAATGCAAGGGCTCAACTTACCAACAATGATATGAAAAGGGTGCAGGACTTGAGAGAGAAGATTAAAGTCCAGCCCACACCAATTACGAACAAGCCACTTCCTTTTTTTTTTTTTATCAGCTTTGACATTCTCAACTGAAGAATGGAAAAGGTATATCCTTTGTATTCTCCATAGTTTCAGAGATCATAGAATGATAGGATTCATGGGAAAGGACTTTGAAAAAGATGAAAACACATATACAGACAGAGGTCCTGGTGATGATAGCAACTGTTTGATATTAAATGATGTTACCAGCTTACTGTTTCCCAGAACACTCGCTGTTCTTTCACTTTCCCTCAATCCCGAACCAAGCCTGTTCACATATCACATGCTAGAGAAGGTAGCACATAAGTCACTTCACTTCCCAGTCTTTTCCCAGTCAAAAGATGGCAATTATGAAGTTCTGACCAAAGATACAAACCTATTTTAAGTAGTTGGACAATCAATACAGGTGGACTGTGTGGTCTGTCACTCCTTGGAAAGGAGCTGTCAGGTGCACTTTCATAAGAATGGAAGTAAATGAAATTTTCAAGTCACCAAAAGCACTTTAAACATTATTGCCACCCAACAACACATTATTAATCACATTATCACAGTATCATTTTCTGGTCTATGTGATCATATAGATATGTCAGAGTCTTAATGAAAGCCCTGGGACTGACAACGGCCTAGAGTTGAAAGCTGCAAATTTCCCTGTTGCTTGTTTGATGGGAAGTGGTGGTGAGGAAGGAACAGCACTGATAACAGGAAATCTCTGTTGGGTTATATCATTGTCCTGCATAAGTTTACCAGGTTGTACCAAGACATTAGGAGGACAACTATCTGGCCAACTGACTGAAAGAGATCCATATTTAATCCTATTTAAAAAATAAAGTTGCCTGACGGAGTGTGGAAATTACTGAACAATATCAATGATAGCACATGCAAGAAAAATCCACAAGAGAACCAGAAAGTGTCCTGGAATTCACATTCTCAACAATGTTACCCATAATTTATAATGATCTACCCATAAAAGGTATTTATGAAGTAAAAGCATCCACTTGGAACAGCTTTATTAATGTAGCTGATTATTACTGGTAGTTGCTGTTAAGTCCCCTTGGATCCATGATAAATGTATGCTATAAGAGAACTTTGCTAAGTCCTGTGTCTTCTGCATGGTCATTGGTGCATTCAAGCCTGCTGTGATTGATGTAGTCTAGCACCTTCCAACCTAATGAACTCATCCTCCAGGTTTCAAACAGTGAAAAGCATTCTGTGTAGCCCATAAGGTTTTCAATCACCAGTTAATGTTTGGAAGTCGATCTTTCTTCCTAGGCTGCCTTAACTTGGAAGTTCTGCTGAAACCTGTCTATCATGGGTGACCCTGTGGGTATTCAAAATAAGAGTGACATAGCTACCAGCAACCAGCAAGAAACAAGCCACCTCAGTATGACAAACAGATTTAGGGTATATCTGGGGGTTTAGATTCCTCTCTTTCCCCTCCCTACTGCTCATAGTTTGGGGAGAGTTGTGTTGAAATCAGCAGTAATCCACTCCTCTTCTGGTGCATACTCCTGCTCATGGCTACAGGTCAAGCTGAACTCACCATTTAACTCTTAAGTACCAAAACACTATTATCAATGCATCTTGGTTGCATGTTCGATCAATCTCCGATTGTAAAAGTTGGTAAAAATCTTCTATCTCCTC